CTCTGAATGGAATGCGTCTCCCATGGAAAGTTTTATCCTTGTAAGTAATCATTAAATGGATTGGCTTTATGCGGGCAATGATCTTGTATGGGAGGAGTAGGTCTCCAGTCTCCTTAAACCTTTCTCCACTTCCCACGTTTTTGGGTGAACTTCAAATTGTATCCCTGTAGATTCATGAATGTTCTATTTCATCCCTTATGTTTTAAGATCTTCTAATCTTATCCTTTTAGACTTCACAAAGGTCCAATGTTACTCCTAATCACTAAATAGCCTGTTTTTTAAAATTGGGTTTTTGAGTATAGATGGGGGAAAAGTGAGAAAAAATAAAATAAAGTGTGAAGATATTAGTTTTTAATTAGTTCATAATCAGGGAGGATAATATTGGAACTCTCAAAAACTATATGAATAACTTTTAAATTTTATATCATTAAAGTAGGAGTGGAACATATGGTAATGACAAAAATATAATTTAACTCTTTTTTTTAACTTTCTTATCTCCCTCTATTTTTAAAAATATAAGAATTATTGTAGAAATAAAGACAACATGTGAGCGCTCACATCATGTGGTAATTTCATTGACCGCATGTTTGTCAAAATTTTAATCTTTTAAAAAATAATTATGCATATTTTAATATAAAAAATATATTATATTAATATATTAAAAATATTTCAAAAAATAATCATGTAAATAATTAAATGATCTATAATTATAATCGATAATGAGACCCATATTATAATGGGACCCATATGCAAGGCTCACGAGGGGAGCTCTACGCTGATGTTTGTGCCTCGTGGGTTTCCGACAACCTTTAGATTCCTTCACTTTCTTTTTCTTTTTCTTTTTTGTCATTTTGATAAAAAAAGAAAGGAAAAAAAAAAGCTGGAAGTTTAACACAAGAAAATGAAAGGAAATTGGCTAACCATTAGATTCATCACGGATTAATTAAACTCCATACGGGTTGATCAAGAGCAAGGTTGAAGTCATGGATGGTACGGGTTAATCTAATTCAACAAAAATATTTTCAAAATTAAAATAATTTTATTTAAGAAAAGAAAATCAGCCCAAGCTAAAACCCAGATCTGGAAATATACTTGTGTTGTTTAAAGAAAGGATCATAATTAGTGTACATGGTGAGGAGGTGTGTGTTCTAATTAGATTTTATCTGATACATTCAAGAAATAATCAAAGATGGACTAATCTTACAAAAGAAAAAGGAAAAACACGAACATCGCAGTTAGAAAATGAATTTAGCATGGTTCCAATGAGGCGGCTCGACGAGTTAATCTAGTGATCAAATGATCTCATATTATATATTTTTTTAATTGTTTTTTTGATAAATATAAAAAGAATTAAATTCACCTGTCAACTAATAGATTGACCTAATTAACTCACTTTGTACAGATTAAAATCCTAAACAGGTCTTGTAACCTTGGAATTTATGGAAATTGGAAGGCATATGTGTGTGCACTAGATGCAGGCTTTAATAAATAAATAAAAACTATCAATTTCTTTTATGTTAATTATAGCATAATTGTACCAGGCCAAAGTGGGAAGGTGGGCAGTATGAAGGGGATGAGCACAAAAGGTTGGAAGCACTTCGTTTGGCACATGATCTGGGGGCTGATTATATTGATTTGGAGCTCAAGGTAGTTTATGAAGTTCTTTTTCGGGATTGAATTGGGTAGAAAACTGCAAAACGTGTGATGTTCTATCAGAAAACTAGAAATTTGTGATTTGTGTTGATTGTTTATGCCTGTAACTTGCATAAGTAGCAATATGACAGTGTTGATCATCACGGTTAACATTCTGTGAAGCTCTGGCTCGTATTTGACTTGCATCCCATGTCATACAGGTTGCCTCTGAGCTGATATGGGAACTGAAAAACAAGCATCAGAATGGTGGGAAAGTCATTGTATCATCTTACTTGAATGGTGCAACCCCCTCGAAAGAAAATCTCAGCCATCTTGTTGCAACCATGCAAGCTACTGAAGCAGATATCATTAAAGTTGTTTCTAATGCAGATGATATTACAGAAATGGAAAGGATTTTTTATTTGCTTTCGCATTGCGAGGTATGAGACATCATGCTAAAAGCTTTATGCCTTTAAGGTGTATAGAAATGGCAAAAGTTCAGAGTGGATGAAAATAAACTAGTTAGATGTGGCATTTATCACTCTGTAGATTATAAATCAAAGTAAAGCATGTTTGATTTGTATACATGCACACAGAGATCAAATTTATTGGGAAAGAACAAGTTGTAATTCGAGATTGGGTTGGCTAAGAGAAACCAAAAAAGAAAATAAAGTCGGTGGAGATTAGAAATGAGAGTGAAAATCTTCATAACATAAGGTTTTGGTCATGATTGGGATCAAGATAGATTCTTCTTGGAATCAGACTTTCTCGCGTGATACAATTTCAGCTTTTTCTGTAACCTGCAGGTGCCAGCAGTTGCATACTCGGTGGGGGAGAGGGGCCTCATAAGCCAGCTGTTGTGCCCCAAATTCGGTGGTGCTTTAGTCTATGGATCCATGGAAGGAAATTCAATTCCTGGTTTACCTACATTAGACAGCCTTAGAGAAGCCTACAAGGTTGACTGCATCAATTCAGATACTAAAGTTTTCGGTCTTCTTTCAAAACCAGTTGGCCACAGCAAAGGCCCTCTGCTGCATAATCCTACCTTGAGACATGTGAACTTTAATGGGATCTATGTCCCCATGTTTGTCGATGATCTCAAGAAGTTCTTTGATGTCTACGCAAGCCCTGACTTTGCTGGTTATAGGTACGGTACATGCAATTTTGTAGTCCTTTTTGAAGTTAATAAGGGATCAATGTTTTAATATAAAACTTTGCTTAATTTGACATCACATGTGAAGAACTTGTTTTTTCTCGGTTCAATATTCATTTTGCATAAAATTGGAAGGAGGATTGCTAGAAATTGTGAAGTGCCGTCTATTTGTATGTTACATTTGGTTCGTATAAGATATATAAAATCTTTCTTACAGTTATTTTTGAATTAATCATATGTTACGAGTTCAAATCTCATGGTTTAATCTTTTGGTTGAGATCATCGTCTTTCCTGATGTAGTTTCTCATTTCGCTCATTTTCTGAACTTTAGTGTTGGGTTTCCATACAAGGAGGCTGTTGTGCAGTTCTGCGATGAAGTCCATCCACTGGCTAAGGTGATTTAATCTTCCATTTTAGATGTTTTGTAATTTGACAGGTATTTTTATTTTCCATCTTCACAGAAGCTTGATGCTTATGACCATCTTGTAAGTTTTTCATCTTGATGACAACAGTGATCGGTTATAATTTATTATACTTGATGTTACAGTTCTTGATTATAGCCCTGATATATTGCAATGTAATCAACATTTTGTGCCTGTCAGTGTATAGGAGCTGTTAATACCATCATAAGGAGGCCCTGTGATGGGAAACTGGTAGGTTATAATACAGATTGTGAGGGTTCAATAACTGCAATTGAGGATGCTTTGAGAGGTACTGACATTACTTCCTCAGCTCTGTATCTTTAGAAGGTTGTTTACGTTTTGAAAGTGACTGTAAATACTTAGTTATAGCTTATCAGATCTGGTTAGTGATATATACGCATTGGTCATGTGAATATCACAGATCAGAAATACGTCAATGGCAGATCCTTAAATTCTCCGTTGGCTGGGAAACAGTTTGTGGTAGTTGGTGCTGGAGGTGCTGGAAGAGCAATTGCAGTTGGAGCTAAGAGTAGAGGAGCCCGTGTAATTATTTTCGACATCGATCTCGGTTGATCCACTGTCATTTTCTTTTTTTTCCTTGAAGTAGTATGCTGATTAGTTCCTTATGAACTGGTAACATAAGAAATTCAAGAGCATCTAAAACGTTCTTCATCTCCTTCTCATGTTTTTCCAAAAAGAGAGAGCAAAGAGTCTTGCTCGAGCTGTTTCTGGTGAAGCTCAACATTTTGAAAGTCTAGCACATTTCCAGCCTGAGAATGGGGCAATCCTTGCAAATGCAACACCGATAGGAATGCATCCGAGTACAGATCGAATTCCCGCGGCCGAGGTTCTCTCCGCTTCATCTTCTCTCCACTTCATAACAAGGCCAGAATTTCATGTTGGTTTTCATTATTAAAACCTTATATTTGTTTGTTTAAGGAAACCTTGGGGAACTACCAGCTGGTATTCGATGCTGTTTACACACCAAGAAAAACCAGACTATTAAAAGATGCTGATGCTGCTGGAGCAATTACAGTGAGTGGAGTTGAGATGTTCCTTAGACAGGCCATCGGGCAGTTCAAACTCTTCACCGGCAGAGAAGGTATCTCACCTACTTCTCCTTTCTATCGCTTTCGTAATCATCCCTTGTATTTCTTCATTGTATCTCCTATATATTCCTTCCAAAGGCCTACAGGCTACCACGCTGAGCCCGGATAATACTTGCTAGCAATTGAAGAACTTCACACCTTCTATACCATCCTACAACTGTCATGCAAACTTGGAATTGAACCGGATTTATACTCTAGTCGATAAGTTTTACTCACAAACTTGAATTATTGAAATGGCAAGAACTTGTCTATCAACCAAAGCCCTGCAATCCTTATTAACTGAAGTTGCCAACTTCAATCCTTAATGATCTTGTACAATTCTTTTATCCACCGCAGATAAAAAGCCCATCACAGAGTCATTCTTCCTCAAAGCTCGTTTAATGAATAGAAAACCTTTAATGTATAATATAGTTTCATAAATTCCATCTATGATTGAAATGACCTCATTTTTGTCTCTCCATCTCTGCTTGCAGCTCCGAAGGACTTCATGCGGGAGATTGTTTTAGCCAAATTCTGATGTGTGGCACCATATAAATAATGCTGTGATGTGTAATCTCGGACTATCATTTAATTGCGAATATCGTTTCGTAAATAAAAGCTGATCGATTTTTGAAAACTAGTTATTCCTTCTCCTGCATTTAATTGCGAATATCGTTTCGTAAATAAAAGCTGATCGATTTTTGAAAACTAGTTATTCCTTCTCCTGCATTTAATTGCGAATATCGTTTCGTAAATAAAAGCTGATAGATTTTTGAAAACTAGTTATTCCTTCTCCTGCTGGTTACTTGATTATTATGCAAGGACATTAAATGTATCAGTCCTCTGCTCAACAGTGAGTCCTGGCTTCCATTTTCAAGGCTGAAACCAAATGTTAAACAAGAAAGGGGTGTTCTGGGAGATAAAATTGTCTTTTAAAAAACATTAACAGAACAGAAAAGGTTTAAAAAACCATTAAAAACCAAATATTATAGTTTGACAAGATCCACAGTTTGTGTTTATGAATGAGTTCAATGAAATGGAAAACGTTATGAATACCCCCCAAGACTCGAGTCCATATAATCTGTAGCATTCTCAGAGCATAAAAAATATAGCTAAGAATACATACAAAGTTCGAAGAATGTTTGGTGTAATACTTGAAGTTAGAAGGTAGCAAATGGCAAGAACAAGATTGTCAAATGGTTTCTGTCATGGATAATAACAATAAGGTTGGACGAATTTTCTTGAATTGCGTTTGGATCTTTTCTAAAATTACCTGTTCTTAGTAAGATTTGATCCTGTGAATAGATACTTCGCAAAACTTGAGGAATTTTGTGTATGAAACTAATTCCATGTAAATATATAATATTTTTAAAAATTTAATGTCAAAACTCAAATATAAGACTTCAGGTTGAATGAGTTTATTCTTCTTTAACATGCTATTGGGGGCAGTTTTGCTGAGAATTCTCCCTCGTAAACTCAACTCCTAAGACCAGCATAGCAATTAACTTTTCTTGAAAATGGGAAGCCTTCCTGAACATTAGTTTTCCATTTTTTCAGGCCAGGCTCCACTTAATAATGTTATCTGTATGTTTTTCTTTCAATTCCTCAAATAAATTTGTTCAGCAGGTGTCAAAGCTTTCTCATGTTGACTGCTGTCATCTGGCTGATTTTCCACCTTTGGTTGCTTGTTTTTCGTTCATTACATCTGATCTTCAAATAAGTACTGGTGAAGTGCGAAGCAGTCCTACATGGCTATGTACACCATTACTGGGAACCACGGTCGGTCGATCAAATGTTGATCCCAAAGAGAAATGCTAAGAAAATCGGTGCTGATGTCGTCGATTGTCTGGCAAACTTCTATCCTCACCAAGGTCTTGAAATCCTTATTTTACAGTCTCCTTTGCTCACTTGTGGTCACTTGCAGGTAGAGACCAAGTCGAACAATACTTGCTTCTTTCGTTATGACATTTACTTGGACTCTGCTCCACAAATGTCAAATCTTTTTCTCAGTTAATAAGCTTCTTTGTGAAATCTGTACTTTCCAGACCAATTTGGGAAGGTAGTCAGTATGAGGATGATGAAACCAAGCGGCGGGAAGCACTTCGTTTGGCAATGCAATTGAGAGCTAACTATATTGATTTTGAGCTTGAGGTATCCATTTTGTCAAATAAACTCCGGTTTCTAGTGCAGAATGTTTCCGTTGGAAAATACCATCTGATACTGCTTTTTGGAAGCCCTGAGCCTCCTAGCCTTGTTGTTGTGCAGATTTTTCATGAATTCAACGATTCCATGGATGGAAAGAAACCTGATAAATTCAAAGTCATTGTTTCATCTCACAATTTTCACAATACTCCAACTGCTGAGGCCATGGCCGATCATTTTACGAGAATACAAGCCACTGGAGCTGACATGGTGAAGATTTCTACAACTGCATTAGACATAAAAGATTACGGAAAACATTTTTCGGGTTATGGTGCATTTTCAAGTAAGCAATGCACAAATTTCATGGAACTCTTTTCCGAGATTTTGGTCATATCATCTATGAAATTTCCACATAAATGCGTCTCTATCAACCAAAACTACAGGTCCCAATTATAGGAGTTGTATGGGGTGAAAGGGGCTTGATTTCATGGTTACTATATCAACTCCTGGACAATCTACTGCAGAGGATTTGGGGCGGTGCTTCTTGTTTGAACTCTGAGTCTGCGACGTGAATCACGTGGTCGGGGATAGAACCCAGGCCCATCATTCATCATTCACGTGGTTGGGGATGTTGACCCAGGCCCATCATTTTGCAGCATGCTTTGAGACGCATATGGAATGTCTGATTTTACCCTTAGCGAGCAGGTTTAGGTTTAGGGGTGATAGGGTCCTTTTAATGGGACCTTTTATTAATTACATTGAAAAGGGTTAATTGATATTTTTCAAATTTTTATCTACAGTGTAATTATTAAATGACGCTAAAAAAAAGTTTTTTTTAGTTTCATGAGCAAGTCAACTGCTCCTCGAAAATAATATTTCTTAATTATAGATACAAGGACACTTTTAGAATTTTTGCTTTAATTTTTTTTGTAATTTTCCTGTGAGGATGGGAGTAATTTATTTTTTTAATATATATTATTTTAATTTAAAATATATATAAATTATTATTTTAATTTAAAAGCGATTGGTGTATTTTAAACGCATGTCATTTACTGAACATCACTTTTTATAGCAATATTTGATCCCTTGTCATAATGATAAGATACATGTTTGCATTCAAAACTCGATAGAGCTCCAATAACAAGTTGTCCCTCTTCTTTTCTCTCTCCAAAAAAAACATGATGGCCATTGCACATATGAAAAAAGAAGTTTGAGTATTTGATTGTTATGTTAAATTATATCCACAATCTTTTCATTGGAATGTATTTAGTTTTTAATTATTTATTGTGTTATTTTCTTTTCAGTTTCATTTTTTGATATTTTATTTTTATATCAAATTTAATCATCATTCTTTTAGTTGCAATATATTTGATCTTCAATTATTTTTTTCAATTTCATTCATTTACACTTGATTTTTATATTAGATTTGATTTTGAATTTTTTAATTGTGATGTATTTAGTCATGAATTCTTTAATGAATTAATCTTTCAATTTTATCTATTAACATTTTATATCAAATATGGTCTTGATTCTTTTTATTGTTATTTTTAGTTATTTTTATCATTTTCTTAATTAAAATTATTTTTTGATTCCACTCTTTATGATTTGGTTTTATTTTATTTTTTATATCAAATTTGGTTCTCGTTGTTTTCAAATCTATATTTTTTAAAATAATTTATTTAATTTATTTTTTCAAGTTTATCTCTAATTATTTTGGTTGGTTGAGAATTTTGAATTTTCTATTTTTTCAGGTTTGTTTTTTATGTTGTGATCAAGCAACATGATCTATGTCACAAGTTTTGAAAGTTGGACCAGGTTAACTTTAATTATTTTTAGTTATTTTTTATTTTTTAATATTTGATTTTATTTGATTTTTAACAAGTTTTTGTCCTCATTCTTTTAATTATTATTTTTTATTCTATTCTTAGTTTTTTTCAACTTAGCCTATAATTATTTTCTTTTATTTTGTTTTTATACCATATTTGGTCTGCATTATTTTAATTTTAAATTGTTTTACAATTAGATATTTTATTTTATTATTATTTTGTCATTGTCTATCAATAAAGTGATCTTTTATAGAAAATTGATTTTTTTATAATTATTTTACATTAAATTATTTATCCTTAAACTTTATTGTAAGAAAACTCTGGCCTGTGGTATATTATTTTACAATTTTTGAAAACTCTGGCTAGTGGTATATTATTTTAACATTTAAGAAAGAAAAAGCAGGTGTTTGAAACAGTAGAAAAAATAGTTTTTTAAAATATTTTTTATTTTAAAAATTATTTTTAATATTAGTATATCGAAATAATAAATTTTTATATTATTTTTAATATTAGTATATTAAAACAATAAAAAAATATTTTAAAAAATATATATAATGGGATCGCTATCGGAGAAGGGAAAAAAGAAGAAGTGAGAAAGTGACATGGGAAATTCGTCTTGATCTTCCTATTTATGCAGCAAACACAGTCGCTTGCTGTGCTATTTTGGATATCTGTGAGTTGCTCGTGCCATAGTTTCCACATTGGTGATGTCCACTTTCTATTTATGTTCCACTATTTTCTTTTCTTGTCTTTGATCTTGCTTTTGGAATCGATCTTCAGATGAAAAGTTTATAACTTTTCGCTTGTGTTTCTTGCTTTCTTTGCCAGGCGAATGCAAAGTTGCTAGTAAAGCTGCAGGACAAGCCAGAACCAGGCAGAAGTTGCTTTGCGGGATTTGATTACTGTCTTCGCCAGTACAAGATATAGATAATAGTTCGAGTGATGATTTTTTATTCATTTTGATTTTTATTAAAAAAAATAAACAAACTGGTTTTTTTAAAATAATTTAAATTGAATCAAAACTAATTAATTTCAAACTGTTTTTTTATATTTAGCTTAATTATTTTTGGTTTCACTCAGTTTTTTTAAGTTTTTTATTTCATATTTATAAAATAGAATCGATTAGTTTTTTTAAAATTTTAATAAGTTTAATTAATTTTTTTATTTTCTTAATTTAATTGATTTTTCAGTTTATTTGCTAACTCCTAGATAATATAAATACAAAGAATATATTTTTATAATCTTTATATTTTGAAAGAATATAAATTTATTTTAATATGATTTTATAAATAGATTTATTTTATATTTTATCTTTATTCTTCTAATCAACCTTATATTTCTTCTATATCTATTTATTTTGTTCTTAAACACTAATCAAACCTAACCAATTAAATTTTAAAAAATCATAAACGTGTGAAAATATAAAAATTTAGAGGGGCTGCCGCCCTGCAAGAAAAAAAAAATCAGCCCCTCTCCTCTAATAAATTAGATTTTTAGTTCTGAAAGTTTTTTTAAAAAATTAAATACCCCGCTCTAATTTTTATTTTTTTAATCTAATTTATCCCTTCAAAAATCACTAGTTTGTCAAGATAAATTCAGCTGACAAATAACTCAAATCTTCCTCCTGTTTTGCTTCTTCTTCTTTTTTCTTTTTTTCTTTCCATTGTGTTTACCTTGTATTTTGGTAGTATTTAAAAACGTAGTTAAAATTATATTTTTTAATTTTAATTTTTTATTTAAAATTAATTTTTTTATATTTTTAATGTGCTAGCATTAAAAATAATTTTATAAAAAAATATTATTTTAATTACATTAGAGAAGAAATTCCCATTGATTTATGTCCAAATTCCAACATCTGAATCCATGATCCACAGCCAAGTCATTTCAGATGAATTGAAATGTGCAAATCATTTGTTTGAAATTATTCTATTATATCAATAAATTTCCATGTTCTTTTTGTTGCTTTGTTCTTGGCCAACCAGAAATTAGTCCTCCAAATAATAACGTTTGTCAAAGAAGTTCCTCAATTGGATTCTCAAAATTAAGAAAATTGCAATTTTATTCTCTCTTTAGAGAGAGTACTAGTGCTAGTTTAGTTATGGTCTTGTTAACAATTAATATTAAACACCTATCACCACTGAAATCCATTATAAACTCAATAATAAACAAGCTTAGCCCCGTTTAGCATTGCTATTATAGGTTAAAATTCAAATTTTTTTAATGCAAAATTTAATTTTTATTTTTTAAAATTATTTTTATATGTTGATATCAAAAATTCATATTAAAAATATTATACAATATTAAAAAATATTAATATTAAAAATATTATACTAATATATTTCTAAATAAAAATATTTAAAAAAATAATCAATATAGAATTTCCATTAACATGCATGAATCACAACTTATCATCGTGTACATTACAAATTCTTAACGAATTTCAATGATATATAATTTTTTTATGGATTTGTTAAACACATGCAATAATAATATTTTCAATAAATAAGAGCCAATGAGCAATATATTACAGCCATGAAAAAGTAAAAAAAATGAACCTGAAATACAAAAAAATAAAAATATCCAAGAAATAATTTTACAAGTGGGTGCGGTAATTCACCCGTTATTTACAAGTCGTTACAATCTAGCAATCGTTACGATATTATAACTATTATCGATGTGATTCACCAATAATGAAAGCTATAATATCAAATAAGAACCTCAATTTCATTAAACAATGAATGATTGTTATGTTAAATAACGGGTGTTATTAATAGATGCAAAGTTTATGACTAAATGTCATAATGAAAATTAAAAAAGTGTTTTTTTAATGTATTTTAAAATAATATTTTTTTATTTTTAAAAAATTATTTTTGATATTAGAATATCAAAATAATATAAAAATATCAAAAAAAATAATTTAAAACAAAAAAATTTTAATTGTTTTTAAATATTTTTAAAACATAAAAATAGTAATTATTTTAAAATATTTTTAAAACATAAAAATAGACCACCTTCTTATTATTTAGTTTCTAAAATAGTTTTGTTTTCCTTGTATTATAGTTATTATTGTTATATGTACTTGCACTAGAAATTCTATGAATATTTATAAGTAGTAGAGATTAAAAAAAAAAAATTGATGAGTCATGAATTTCATTTTATTTTTTTTGTATATATCTTTTTCTGATTTAAATAATAACTAATAAAATATTACTAAATATTCCCTTCCCTGAGGATTATAAAAATTTCTGCACTTGCACAATTTTTTTATTTATTTGAGTTATATTTGATCTTCTTTTCCACTTGCTTTATTCGTTTTTTTTTATCGTTTTTCATTTCAAAAGGAGACAAAATAATATTCAAGTTACTTAAGTATTTTAGAAATGAGGGTTAAGTTAGTAAAATAGACACAATTATAGAAGCAAAATAACTTCCCTTAAATCTTGGTAGCTGAAATTATTTGCATTAAACGCTCAGTAAATTATAACATTATTTACAGTAATAATTAGAAAAATCAAATTCAAATAATGTAAAATAAAATTCAATTAATGATCAAATGTTAACTTTTGGATTATCAAAATATTCAAAAGAAATTCAATTGGAAATTAGGATACTATATATATTTCTTGATTTAATTGAAAAAATATATGATGTGCCCCATTAGGGAAGGATATAAAATTAAAACAATCATAGACAACTGTTCATTTTAAGGTGAAAGATTGATTTATTTTAGTATTTATAGGTAATAATTTATTTTGTTTCTTTATTTATTTAAATCAGTTATGCATATTAAATAAGATTTTGAAGGTTATATCTTGAAAAAGGAATACACATCTAGTATACTTTGTTTCTTTATTTATTCTGATTATTTAATTCTCATTGATTGAAAACATAAACATTACATTTTGATTCTATTTTTTTTTATTATTGATTAGAATTTATGATTAGACAATTGACTTTGTCTTCGGCTTTAATGTATTATATACATAGTGGACCGACCTAGGAAATTTCTCAATCAATCAATATTATATAGTTTTTTTTTTAATCCCAAGATGGTTGTATAGTGAA